CTGCTGCCGACACGGCTCGGGGCTCTGCGGAGATGAAGGTGCTCTCTCCTCGCTGCCTTTGTCAGCAGACTGGAGCTATTATTAGACAGTGGGGACCTTCAAAAGCAGGCTGAGGTTTTCCTGCAACACGGGAGAGGCTGAGACAAACCAGCTCTGCTGCTGCTCCTAACGAGGGTAAGGATTTAGGTCTTGCTTAAGGCCCCGTGATCCCAACGGCCGCGGGGAAGCTGAACTGGCAGCGTGGCCTGGCCCAGCCCTGGGCGGTCTGGTCTGGGACGCTTCAGGGACTGGCTGTAAAGCTGCGATTCATGGCGCGTCTGCGCTGATCCGTTTTCTGGCTTCCGTTAACTTTGGGGATCTTCTTGTAACTCCCTGGCTGTGGCCCAGGAACGACCCCGCACGGTGTCAGAGCAGTCTGGGGTTTTCCGCCTGTCGGCAGTTCCTCTTTTGCAAAGGAAAATGGAGCTAGTGCAACAAAATGCAGCCTGGGTGGCTTGTGCGTGACCTCTGGGGACACGCGCGGCGAGCACGCAGCCCCAAATCTCTGTCCTGTGAGGAAGGACGGGCTGGTGCAGCGTTTTCACGCTGGTGCGGGTCATCCCGCGCAGACCGGTGTTCGCTCTGGCATCGGTTGACCAAAACTGTTCTCCCGAGCTGTAGCGGAGGCACCAGCGCTGCGCCTGGAAGGTGTCGCAGCCTCCGGGAACGTTTCTTCTCTCCCCGTTCTCCAGGTGACCCTCGCGAAAATGCGCTCTCACGTCTCATCCTGCGCGAAGGTGCAGGAGCAGATGGCCAACTGCCCCAAGTTCGTCCCAGTTGTCCCCACGTCCCAGCCTATTCCCAGGTACTGCCGCGCGTCAGGTAGGGAAAACGTGTCCCTCCTTGCAGGCCGCCCCGGCACTCCCCTCCCTTACAAACCCTAAAATCCAAGCACGTGTTTTACTTTCCCCTGGGCGATCGCAGGGGGAAACATCAGCACCTTCTCCCTCCTGGTATCTGCAGCCGCTGCGCTGCCCTGTGTTTCAGAGCGCGGTGTGGGAGGAAGGACCGACCAAAACCAGGGTGGTTCAGCCTGCGGCTGGGGTGGGAACGGGCTGGTCTGGTTTCTGCTATGGGTGGGTATCGCAAAGCTGAGCGGGGGGTGGCTGGGTTAGTTTGGAAGGAGTCGATCCAGTCCCTTCCCAGGGGATCTGAGCTCGTCCTTGCTCTCTTTAGCAATATTCCCAATCGCTCGACGTTCGTGTGCCCGTACTGCGGGGCCCGGAACCTGGACCAGCAGGAGCTGGTGAAGCACTGCATGGAGAACCACCGCAACGACCCCAACAAAGTGGTGAGCGACGCCGGGGCGCTGGGACGGGCTGCTTCTGT